CATCCTTTTCGCATTCAAATCCATTTTTATGATTTTTTTTTCAAAACTTATCGACCATTCTTAGTTATAATTTTTAATGAATGACAACCTCAGAGGTAAGGGTAGAGTTTTATAGATATTTTAAAAACTATTTACTAGGTATTTGTTGAACACACATGAAGCTTCCGGTTTTGGTCTTGAGATGAATTATTCACATTTCTATTATAAGACATTCAATATATGTGAAAACAATCTTAAAAGGACAGGAAGTTCCGAATTAAGTCCAATAACCTTATCATAACAATGGTATTTATTATTATTTTGATAACCTTAATGATGCAACTGGCACACAAAACGTCGCGTACTCTTAAGGGGTTTAAACTAGTACCATGCTACCGTTGAGAAAATAAATATCCAGCAAACAATACTATTGTAGACCTATTATATGTTTGAAGAGAAATATATACATTCGTACATTGTATGAGCAATTATTGAACTAAATGTGAATTTTTATGCATACAATTTGGAACATAGATTTATTTTATAGCAATTCTCTAATCAAAATTATGTAAAGTTTGTGGAATGAGGGGTCATGAAGGAGGTTCCTTACTGTAAATGTTGACGAGGCTATACTTCATTTTTTATTGCAATATATATAATATTGGTATTTTTTTTTCCAATGAACAAAAATCAAATTTATTGCGATCAATAAAAATTAATCATAGTATCGCTAGTATTCTCTAAACAAAACAAGTCGGAATATAATTAGATAAAGTGAGACATGAGTAAAAGACTTGCTTGACAACAAAACAACATAAACATTTTTGAAAACAAATGTATTTATTTTTTTAAAGTGGACTATGGAGAAAAATTATTTTGTTGTTTCAGCGACCTTGTCTATATAATGACGGATAGTTTTTATATGAGGTTAAAGCCGAAGTACTTGGATAGAACCACCAAACTTCAGCATGAAAACGAGAAACCCTTGTCAATTAAGATCGTAACGAAACATACCTCGCCACGAGCGTCTATTATATAGTCAAATTATTTAGCAACTTGCAATTTGCTAGCCAAAGCCATGGTTTCACTGTGCACGTACGAGATAAATAAAATAAAACAAAACAAAAACAGTGTTCAGTGAAAACTACAGAAGACAACAACAAAAAAGATTTAAAAAGAATGCTGTATATTTATTTTTATTTATTGATAATTATGACCAAAAGCGGACATGTGCATGGTATATGTCAATGAGTGCGAAAATCCTCATTCAAATACTATCTATAATCCAACGCTTTAAAATGCTATTTTACAGTATATATTTTTTTCATTGATACAATATTACAATGACCACTTTTCTACAAACTCATACATCTGCACTGGTCAGTGTTAAGTTCTGGCCAAAATGTACGGCGTCCTTTAAATATATCATATATAATTTTACATTCATTGATCATAGGTTATGTTGTACTTTTAAGATGTTACAATATGATTATATAAGTCTTTTTATACACGTGTACCCGAAATGATTATCTTGAACTAACTTATTGTAATTTGTTCCGATCAAATATTTGACATAAGTTTTGAAAACAGACAAGAAATATTACATAAAGACAAACATTTCAAGGTTAAAATCTGTCACATTCGTTTCACAATTCCCCAAAAAAGGAAAAGAGAGAACGAGAGAGGGGTAAAAAAAGATCAATTCTAGAACTGCACATCACAAAAACAGATATCATATGTGTTAAATGGGAACTAAAGACGACTAGTTAGATATCAAGATGATTGCGATTTAATATATTATAAGATAGTGACATCATAATTATTTATTTGATTTAATGGAATCCACAGCATAGGTGATTCTAGAAGAAGCGAAATTAATCCTTTATAGTATGGCTAAATATTGACGTCCGGACGAAAATTAAAGATAAAAACTATTTATACTTATTACAACTTAGATTTTGAAGAAAAACGACTTCCAAGCAATCGATCGTCCGATATAATCCTAATGCACACTTTTTTTTTAAAGCAGAGTAGGGTAAAAACTTCGATTTTGCAAATCTTGTGATCTTTACGATAATAAAGCAAAGTGCAGACAGTCATATCCATATTATAAGGTTCAAATAATTTAGAATGACGTGTAAAATTCTAATTTTTGAATTGAAACATGCAAGTTGTCCAGTTATAATTTATTCAATCAAACTATACAGAATATTATAACCGTTCACTCAGATAACTTCATATCTTTTTTTCTTTTTCAACAATATTACAGACTATGCAAACAACCTTTGGAAATGTCAAGTAAATCACTTAAACATTGATTGCCTTTGTGTTGGTACAAAAAGGGCGGCGTGTTACACGTACACAAATAATATTTACACATTCTAAATACGTCTACTCCATCTAAACCAAACAATACCACATACCTCAATATGCAAATCGGAATCGGTCATATATTGAGACACTTCGGATTTCTGAAGTAAAACGAATCTCGTTTGAAAAATAAAGATATCATAAATGGTTTTGAATACAGTGATTGACTGATTGATTGATGCTTAACAGCCAAGACAAATATTACATACATATTCATGATTATAACATGCAAATATGAATTATAACATCTTAGTATCATCCCCCATCGGGAATCGATGTCACTATTTCCGGCCCTTATTCGAATACGCTCCAAAGATGCCACCTTTACTTTAAGAAAGACATGCTTATATCACTGTCTTTTGCAAGATCTAAGATTGACTTTTTTCTAATAAGTTCCTCTGAATCATAGTTAACTAACCGATGATTTATCATTATACATTGATTTGTGAATGTAATCTTTATTTTGATTAACATGATTGTTCTATGATTGACGCCAAGTGGCAAATTGTACATGATTATTCTATGATTGACGCCAAGTGGCAATTTGTACATGATTGTTCTATGATTGACGCCAAGTGGCAAATTGTACATGATTGTTCTATGATTGACGCCAAGTGGCAAATTGTACATGATTGTTCTATGATTGACGCCAAGTGGCAATTTGTACTAGATTGTTCTATGATTGACGCCAAGTGGCAAATTGTACATGATTGTTCTATGATTGACGCCAAGCGGCAAATTGTACATGCATATTTTGAACGATCTCTAGTTTGTGATGATTTTCTTATTTGTACCTATCAACATTGGTTCCACATATGGAGCAGGATCTCAGTTGAGGTTCCAGGGGGTGGGGGTGGTTCCGGGGGTTGGAACTCCTCTTTTTTGACGATCAATGCTTTTGAATGGTGGCATATGGTTGGAACCCCCCTTTTAAAAATGGCTGGATCCGCCTCTGTATTTGACTACACTTCTGAAGCTCCTGAATGGGGTTAGTGTTGCTCTAGTTTTCTATGTAGTGTGTTGTAGTTTCCCTTTATATCTTCTGTATCTCCCTTTTTTAAGTATGTAATATGTTGTCAATCTAGATAATAAAAGTATATGGGACTCTAGTTGTGACATTCTGAAAACTGCAGGTTCACCCTTTTTTATCCAAATAAATGATTGATTGATGTGTGTTTAACGCCACTTTCAGCACGGTTGGCTATATCGTTGAGGTCAGATTTTATTGGTGGAGGAAGCCAGCGCACCCGGAGGGATCGACCTCCGACCTACGAACAAATAACTGATACTACATATAAGCAAATATCTGTACAAAAGAAAATGTATGTGCTGCTGCTCTGTTGTTGGGCAACAATCATTCCGTTACTACGGACTGGGACGTGAAATAAAAACAGTTTTGCGCCAAAATAACGGCGAACCTGATTACATTTTTTTGCCTAAGATAAAAGTTCACACTTGCCAAACTCTGTACATTGATCGTTTCCGTTCCGGAACTATTTCCCTTTTACTCCATCAATTAGTGTAGAGTAGTATGCGGATCGAAGATGGAACTGCCGGGGAGTTTGCACATTTGCCAGAAATATCTAGATCTTATTCAACAAAACAAAGCGGAAAATACCCTTTTGTGTCGCAGTCGTAATAACAGATCGTTGTCTTGCCTATATATAACATTTCAGTCAGTACCGATGATGCCCCATGTCAGGTGTTGATATAAAAACTGGGAAACCAGGAATAATTGGGATATATCAGGATGAATTTAAATCAAAATAAAATAGCGAGAGAAGTAAAAATTCGTCATATTAGAATCAAAACGATACTTAGCAATCTCCAGCCAACTCAGTGATTGTGCATACAATTATAAACATTAAACTGAGAAAACAATATAACGCCAATGAGAATGTTGCCATTTCATTTCATTTCACAAGTGAGAGGTTTAGCTAGCTATAAAACCAAATTTAATCCCCCATTTTCTACAGGAAATGCCTGTACCAAGTCAGGAATATGACAGTTGTTTTCCACTCGCTAGATGTGTTTGAGCTTTTGATTTTGCCATTTTATAAAGGACTTTCCGTTTTGAATTTCCCTTTGAGTTCGGTATTTTTTTTTTTTTTTTACTTTTTGTATATCACATTGCAGTATTGGCCAACAACAGTTTACCTACTCGTTTCACACTCCGTTCATTGTGATAGATTAATTGATTAATTGTTGGTTGCTTAACGTCCAATGGCAAATATTTCATGCATGTGGAGGACGAGAACAAATTAACAATAAATACAATAGGTTGATAGAGAAGTTTCTCTCCATACGTGAACAACCAAATGAGAAACATAGTATATACACATGAAATTGAGAACAAATAATAATTCTATATTTCGAGGACTTTTTGATTTGAAGAATATTGCACTGTATATCTAGAGGCGAAAGAAACCAAGGGATATTCAAACTCATAAATCGAAAAAAAACTGACAATGCCATTTCAAAATTCAAAAACGACGAAAACACAAACAACAGTACACAAAACACAACATAAAAACTGAAGCCTGAGCAACACGAACCCCAATAATAAACGGGGATAATCTCAAGTGCTCCGGAAGGGAAGAAGTGTTCCATGATCAGTGCAATTTTGTGTTAACATAGTGAAAGAAACTTACCTTTTCATTTGAGTGCAGCGAAATATTTGACTGATATTCACTTGGCTGTATAAATCTTGGAAGCTCCAGATTAACATTTTCTGGGGGTTCTGGTGAAACCGTAGTCTTAACTAGAACATATTTATCCTCGTCACTGGAAGATGAAATATCTTTTGTTTGAATAAATTTCGCCTCCGTTCGGCTTTTCTCGGTTTTTTTGCTATGTTTTTTACGTCGAGGTTTTGGCTTGTCAATTTTGATTTCGTCATCACTAGAATACTGATCACTTCGAGATATATTTTCTACTAATTTTTCAGCACGATTTAGAATCGAAATTCTTTTGCTTCTAGCTTCTTCTCTCATTTGTTCATAACTTTTAGCACCATTTCTCACTTCTTCAACTTCCTCGTTTTTAATAAAAGTTGTTTCTTGAAGTTCGTTTTCGTGTGTGTTTTCTTGCACCTGATACATATTGAAAAATTTTGGCGAGAAGTGAATTTCTCCATTTTTGGCACTAGGCGGGTACACATAAGGTTGCATTGGAACACCTCGCAATGGGAAACTTTTATTTGACACTGGCGATAATGAATTTTTATATACATGCTTTGGTTCTTCTGCGGTTCTATTCCGCGGTCTATAAAATTCCTCTTTATTCTCTTTATTGTTCAAAGCATAATTGTTCCGCTGTTTTGTATTAATCAATTCTTCTTTCATAATTTCTTTTCGTCTTTCAGCTCGTTTTGGTCGTGCTTTTCTAGCAAGTTCTATTTGTTTTTCTATATCGAGTTCATCCCCATCCTCACTTCCGGTTTTAACAAGATCCTCTTCGGAACCATGTAGTCGTCTGCTCGATTTCTCTTTGGAAGGTCTCTGTCTTTGTCGTCCTTTTTTGTATCTTTCCGCATATGAGTTAGTATAACGTTTAAGATACACGTTAGGATTCGGCATCACCTGAAATATAGCGCAAACCCATGAATTTTTACATAAGAAATCTTATAAAATCAAAGTCTGCCTGTAAATTGAATGAACATTTCCGTGTACTGAAAAGAAGAGTGAATCTTTATTTCTCCCACATATGACTCGCGTGATCATACAATGCCCTTTCAATGACATATGTATGACGAAAAAGATGCTTCCTTTAATTACTTTATAAATACAGAAAATTGTCCATTTTCAGACATTATCTTTAATTATATCTTTCGATTGATTATCTATCTTGTGTCTTTTTAGTACAGAACCTACGTAATTATGAAAAAACTATCGTCTGCTACGTCTTAAAACAATAAAAAGTCTATATTTATATGAAACTAAGTGCAAAAGGTTTAAAATAGTTCGTAACATTTCTGCAAAACATGTTCAGAACATGCACAACAAGTGTTGGATTGGTCCACTAAAGAAAGAATGTATAATATGATTAGTGAGGTATAAGCAATGCCTATAATTCATTTTTGCTTAAATAATAACCATGTATTCAAATCAGTATATTTTTTTGTGTTTTTATAGTTTGTATTTGTCCAAAGTATGATTGTGTATGCTTATATGACAATGATAGAAATCCACTTGCGGAACATTTCATTTACGATTACGTTGCAAAATACCTAGTACAACTTGCGGCAAAAAGTGAAATTTACTCTTCTAACATAAAATTTTATTTTCTATACAACAGTGAGTTTCCACACACATTATAAGGTCCAGCAGATTACGTTTACAAGAAGTCTGATATTTGTAGCTTTTTTTTTCATTCGCTTATAATTTTTCTGAAAATCATAGCTATTGGAGCAAAAGGACTTCAATATATATAGAAGCTGTTGGGTTTAATTTTTATACTTATTTCTAGTGACTGAATAATGAATTGAATCATTACCTCATACGGTATATAAAAAAAATCGTTGAGTTAGATTGCTGACAAATGAAAAAAAACCATTGTGTATAAAAAAAATAACATAACATCTACACACGCTTAAAACCCATGTCTTATATCTATCTCTAGATTCGCCTTACGTGACAGGGTAACATTACGACTATTGAAGTTATATTTTTTTCTTTAGCGGATGTGGTCGAGTGGTCTAGAGCGCTGGACATAAGGCTAAAGCGATTGGTGCTGTAGCGTATCAAAGGTGTAAGTTCAAATCCCGTTGAGGGACAAACATTTGTCAGCATAAAAATCTAATTCCCACACTGTTGGGTTTGATTTTCAGACTTATATATATATATTTATATAAGTAAGTCTAAACAAGTGACAGCTCTACGACAGATCCATTCATTGGATCACCAGTGAAGGTGATACACGGCTGCAAACACATATTATATGTTCAGTCTAGGTGGTCGAGTGGTCTAGAGCGCTGGACACAGTGCAGGCGGTTTTGTCTCGATATCTAAATAGCATGAGTTCGAATCCCGGTGAGGGAAGAAGAAAAATTTGCTTCCGCAAATTTGCAGATTTAACGTTGTTGTTTATATAATTTATATATACAAGTCTTAATTGAAAACAACGTTCAAACCTATGATTGCGTTTGATAAAAACGGCAATTTGTATACGTGTGCAAAACAAATTTCTTTAAAGGGGTCTAAATACAGCACAAACAAAATTTTTAAAAGACAAAAAAAGTGAAAAAGTATATTTTAACAAAACGCATTTGACTAGCAGGTCGAACAACTGATGTTCATAAACCCTGCTGACTGCCATTGACGATTGCCAAAATAAACGGATCACTAGATTTAACAAAATGGATCTTAACTATTAATTTAATACCAAACAAAAAAACAATAAACTTGCGGAAAAGATGGTATACCGCAAACAAAAGGTGCAAAAATTAGAACACCATATCCGGATTTCGACAATTAATGTCTCTTTAGTGATGTTAGGAATCGAAACGGTATTTGGAAGGCAATATAATTTACCTCAATTTAGGATAGACTCTTGAATTTTGAAGAGTCGTAATAGGATGAACGGATCAAATAAACCCGAAGGCCAATATAATACAAGCCCAAACGGAAAAATATAAACAAGTCTAAATTGAAAACAACGTTCAAACCTATGATTGCGTTGGATAAAAACCGCAATTTTTATACGTGTGCATGCAAAACAAATTTCTTGGTAGAGGGGTCAATATATATATTTTTATAAAGCTTTTATATTTTAGTAGGATAATCTATCTCTCAGACGATCAATACACGAAAGAAGATATTAACAAACATATTCCATTATAAAAATAACACAATTATAGTTTTACAATGAAGCTTGCATTCACTTGGTGTGTTACTTCTATGCCAGCACATAATGATTTCCGAATACAATTTCAAGAGTACAGTATGCTAATGAATTGGTTTCATTTGGTAAGCTTAATAACATTTTAACAATAAACAAAACTAGAAATCGCTAGAACAAAGTTTAACGTGCAATATGATGGTGATTTTATGGTTCCTGTTTTCAGCAAAAATTGATCACAAACAAAGAGAACTGCAAGTTATATCATTTAAATGCGTGAATTTACAGATTCACCGGTGTCTATTAAATATAGAATTATTGGAAAAGTAATCATCAGGTTATTTTAACATTTATTTACTACGGTAATCCGTACGTCATACCAAATTTAATTTGAATCGAACGATTATTTGAGCCATTCGATTGTCATTTTGTGATAATAAAATCCTTTGTTCGCTAAAATTGTGATATTTTATTATCTTCACGTGAAGCTATTGGGGAATTGTAGAACTATGTTAGCTGAATAAGTTACTGATATATATCAAATTTTATAAAAGGAACATAAAATAGAAAACTTTTTAACAAAAAAATGTTCGTGTTTTGTCCTTAGTATCTGATAAGTCAAGCTATTTCTAACTGATTTTACAGATTGTTATACTAGTATAATACATAATACTGTTTCTTCATTTTGTCTATTTAAGTGAAGGGATGAGAGCTCAAAAACATGTCTATCTCCTCACATTCTCCATGAGGGTCTGGATGGGGGCTTATTCATTTCTTTATTCTTTTAATTTTTTATGCAATTTTTCTCTCTTCTTTGATAAAGTTAACCCTTATTTTTTATTCTATTTATTTCAACACCCCATTGTTCTCTAATCCTTTCTTTTTTTTTTCTTTTTTTTTGTGGCATATTTTTCTCTTTTCTTTATAATTTTTGTCCTTTATTCTGCATTTTCACCCATTATTCTCTATTCTATAAACCCCGTCCAGAACCTTCTGTGTATGCCTGTCCATAAGAGACTAGATATAGTCCAGTATTGTTGTTGGTTGCTGACTGTCTTTATTGTTTTCGCTTTTATTTGCTATAAACATTAACTTAAATCAGACTGTTGGCTTTCCCTTTTGAATTGTTTCATATTTTGTTACGTGGTATGTTTATTATCTTACTAAACGGTAAGGGTTTCGAATATCTTACGGTAACTTGTAAATTAACATATTTGCTCTTAAGTTATTTGGTGGATAATCGTCTGATTGGCTCATTGGCCTTTTTATTCAACAATAATTTGTAAAATATCAATTTATTTTTTGTCGCTTACATACGCCATAACTGGGGGTATACTATTAGAGCATACACCATAAGCAAGGGAAATCAGTATTGCAAACATGTGTCTGGAAAATGTAATACTTAGGAACTAAGAACAGCAAACATGTATGCATTCATGAGGGTCTGGATGGGGTTTACAAAATTGAGAATAATGGACAAAATATGCAGCAATAAAGGACTATAATTTAAAGAACAGAGAAAAATAGGCCAAGAAAATAAAGAATAGAGAATATCGGGGTTCTAAAATATAAAGAATACAGAATAATGAGCAAAATTTATAATGACTAGGTGAAAAATTGCTTAAAAATAAAAAAAATACAGAAATAAAGGACCCCCATCCAGACCCTCATTCATATTCCTTCCGACAAGTTACTTGAGAAAGCTAATAGACATAAGAAGATGTAGCATGAGTGCCAATGAAACAACTCTCCATCCAATCACAATTTGTAAAAGTAAACCATTATAGGTCAAAGTACGGCCTTCAACACGGTGCCTTGGCTCACACCGAACAGCAAGCTACAAAGGGCCCCAAAATGACTAGTGTAAAACCAGTCAAACAGGAAAACCAACGGTATAATCTATATAAAAAACGAGAAACGAGAAACACTTATGAACCACACCAACAAACGACAACCACTCTACATCATGTTCCTGACTTAGGACAGATGCAAACAAATGCGTTTAAAACTAATAGTCATATGTCTTAACTCTCAGGTTTTAAAACTGTTTTTCGTCAACTAAACTTACAGAGCCGGGAAATTTACACAGACAAAGAAATATACCAAGTGGACGTTCAAACATTACCAGATGTTTTGTAATTTTTTTATCTGTAAATCATTTTACGTAAACTTATTAATAGCCAGCACTTCGCTTTGACTGTAGTAAAACAACTAACCAAATTGAATTTTCACTGGTTAGTACAAACATATTTCAACCTTAAACTATCTTGAATGTTTTAAATATGTCCTGTTGGTTTTTTTCTCCCTAAGCTGAATATTTTGGTTTTTAAACTTTTGATCTCGAGATTACGAATGGAAATTATTCCAGAAAAAAGTGTTGAACGGTCAGAACTCATTACCGTTTTTTTCTCCAAAATATGTTAAATGATGGTTATTATCAATTGATTCCTTAAAAGGGTTACTGTCTCGAAAAAACTCGACCATTTGTTTTAAATTTTCTTCATGTGGGTCTTTATCAAACCTGGTCACAATTTTACTACGTGTGTGAAAGCTAGTCTAAGATACTAATTTTGAATATAAATGCTATGCAGGTGGGAGATTCCGGCTATTATAAGCATCTCGTTCGTGAATTTTATTGAGTTGAATGTATGTGGGGTTTTTTAAATCATTATATTGCAAATTGGTATACCTCACCACATTCTTTATGTCCTTGTTCCAAGTCAGGAGCCTGTAGTTCAGTGGC